CTACACTGTGGAGGGCTCTAGTGGAGCAGGCAATGTGTCAGTCGTTGGTTCACCTATGACGCCCGGTTCGTTACTACTGAATGCTGCCGCCAATCATCCGACCGCGATCAGAAAAATGGAGTTTCTGACCGGATCAACGGCAACTTCGCGACTGTTGGTGCTCTGTAATGCCGCGGTCACTGTGTGGGAACCCATGAAGGTGTGTTGTAAACATATCCATTCTGCCCACTCGTTATAACTTCATTATTGGTTCTAAAAATGTTTCTAATTATGAGATCTTTTAAGACCGCGAAATGTTCCTTCATAATACACCGTATCCGTTAATGTATTGATGTAATGTAATGTAATTTATTAATGTATGTATTAATGTATCCGTTAATGTATTAATGTATTAATACTCCCTACGATCCACATCCATTGCATAGTTTATAAGCACTACGTGGCCTCCTCCTCTTAGGGTGGAGAAATGTTGGATTTTTCGTAGACAGAATATATACAGCATGTAGGTTAGAAATCTTGAACGCAACTGTTAAGGGCCGGTAGTGTTAAAAATTATTCGGCAATTTAGAAAGCCCTTCAAAACCAAAAGATACTATTTCTTCGAGTTTAACGTTTAACGAAGGCATACTTTCTTAACTAACGCGTATAAGAAAGAATATTTTTATGCATGTTTCTATGAAATATCTCTGGATTTATAAGAGCATTGAAAATCGCTGAGAGAAATGCTTACTACTTTAGGGACCTTTGTTTGCTGACATCCTGCCAAGACTGAATTCTCTTGAGATTAGGCCACAGGATAATAAATATTGCAACCATGCTTAGGTGGCATATCATGAGGTAAGTAATATACTGTAAGTTACTTTTCTCGATCGCAGTCAACAAACCAAAGTGCTCATGGATCAGTGTCTAAGAACGTTGGACGTACTAATGCACTATGACCGGAGAACGCAGATTTAGGTTTGGCTGATGATGGCTATTAAGCCAGAAATGACCATCTCAGCCTCGCTTTTCGTTATCGAAAGCTTTTCGTTATTGAAAGCTGATCTGTCTCTATAGTTTATGTGGATATCGTGTAAAACTTTAATTGTGAGTATTACATGACCTTTTACCATGACCCCTTATTTACCTTATCCTTTGCTTTCCGTGAATGGACCCATTTTTGCTGAAAGTTCAGGATTTTTCAATCCTAAATATAGATAAATAGGTAGATAGAGAACTATATTTTGATGATAATATCAAAATTTTCAGCAAAAAAAGGCTCCATTTACGGAGAGCAAAAATAAGGTAATTCAAGGGGTCCAAAAAGCTCAAGAGTAAACGGTCAAAGATCGCAAAATACTCAAAGTAAGAAGCGACACGGTTACCACATCTGTTGTGGAGACAGGTCTGCCTTCAGTTTCTCAATTTCCGTTTCTTCACACGTGAGG